AAAAAAAAAAAAAAAAAAAAAAAAAATTTTTGTCTGTCAGATCTCTCAGCATAGGATCAACTTGCTATACCAAAAACTAGGGATTTACTGTGCTACTTCCCACATCCCAGTCTCTGCTACAGATGCTCCTCACTTTATCTTCTGGAGGTAAATGCAAATTTGGGCACACCTCTTTACCAAGCAGTATACATTTTGCCCTTAACAGAAGGAAAGTGGATTTAAAACATGTGGTTAGATTTTGACTTTTTTTTACTTTCTAATGTATCTTTCTCCATGGCAAATTCAATGTTAAGACAACTGATTTACTTAGGTTATTAATTGTGAAAGTCCTCTATGAACTTTGTCCAAGTAACTGTAAACAGGCATGTTTAATATTTGTATTTATACTGCCTTGCAGGTCTGTTATGTATTTTAAAACCAATCTGGATAATAGTTCATATCATTAACAATTTAATTTATTTGTATTACAGCAAACTGTTATTACAAATTTAAACCATACTGATTTTCATGGAAGTGGCTACACAAGGTACTTTATGCTGGTCTTTTTAACTTGTTGCTTTTGAGCTACATTTTATGACTGGGTTCAAGTATAATGGAATAGGAGAATTCATCTTATGAGAATGAGGCACAATAGACTTACCAGTTCCCCCTTATCTACCTCTTTTGTGTGCTCAGAAATTCTTGCTTCAGTTGTAAATTAAGCAAAGATCCCAGTGAAGTTCAAACTATGATTTGAATAAGACAGGCTGAGGAACAATATAGTGATTTTGGCTTGTTTTCACTAAATCTAGTTTAAAGGAACTTCCATTTGGAGATCTGGGGGAATTACAGTTAGTTTAACTGTAGTTAAAAACTTTTACTATCTTTTGTGACCTCACCCTGTTATTACATGCTGTACTTAACTATTTTTTACTTTATTCTTTTTATTAAAGCTAAAAACAGGACACTTATCTCTGAAATCTCATCTCCAAAGGAAAACAATCTAAAATAAACATACAGACAACATAATCCCCATGGGTAAAATTTGGATTGGGGGGGAGATGCAAAAGAAGGTAGCACTCTTGCATCTTCATGTAAAATAATTTTAGCAGATACCTGTGTGGATGTAGTGTAGCAGTGCGGTAGTACCATGGTGCCTGAAAAATTGTTGTGGATATATACATAAACAAAGTGTGTACATTGACAGATTTATCTTGTATACCTTTACCTGAATTTAAAAAAAAAAGTTGCTCCTGATTGTTCTCTTAGTTTTCAAAACATATTAATTATTTGATAATCATTGTTATTGCTTTGTGCAGTATGGCTGTTATTTATGGAGTATTTTCAGCATCAAATATAATTTCACCTTCAGTGGTTGCAATCATAGGACCGCAACTCTCCATGTTCATTAGTGGTATCTTCTATAGGTAAGTAAAATTGCTTCAATTCCTGATATTTAATTTGTGATGACTTTTACTTACCTGCACTAGAAGACTGCTGTTGTTTTGTACATAATTGACTAGCGGGGAATGTATGATATAACTACTGCTGTTCTAGTAGCTGGTGTTAGAATTACTTAAATTTGGAGTAAAGTGATAGGAGGAAGGAGAATTAAAAATATTTTTGGCTTTGAAAAGAAGAAACCCAGATTCAGATCACTATTCAGCCATTAAACTCATTGGGGACTCATTGTTCTCAGTTTAAATTAACTTCCCAAGGCCTGTGGATATAAAAATCTACTTTGAGTTTCTTGTGGAAACAGTGGGAAACTAAGTAACAAAATAATAATGATTGTATTCTTAAGATAATGCGTCATGTGTTTCAGTGTAATGAATATTTTTATTTCAAATATGCTGTCTCCCCAGGGTTTCTTTTTTGGCAATTTAAGTAGGAATAAAAAATTGATCTAGATAATGAAATATCTGGTAAGCAGATAAGATAGGATTCAGAATTAATTGGCAGAGGTAACAGCAAATGAAAATTATCAAGTACAGATAACTCCCAACTAGTGATAGAAATTATTTTACAAAGAACCATGAGCATGGCATCATGCATATTAAAACTGTTTTCTTTTCAGCTTATATATTGCTGTTTTTATCCAACCTTCTACTTGGAGTTTCTACACAGCCTCAGTTTTCCTTGGAATAGCAGCTGCTGGTAAGCTCTTCCTCTCAATCTGAAAGGTGTTCTTCATTTGTATGAAGGAATTTGTTTTGGCTTTTCTCAGTTGGAGTTAGACTTTTGGGTGGAATCATGAGATTTGGGTGAGGGACTGTGAGCTTAGGCTGATTCTGAGTAGTATGGATCTTTTTCCAGTTTGCTTTCCCACACTTTTCTCATTTTCCATTCAGAGGAATGCAAGCAATATGTCCCATTCCCCAGTATTAACAATGTAGTAAGCTGTACTTAACTATTAGAAACATTACACAGAGAGTATAAATATACATGGGTATGCCTTGTGAAGAAAAGTTTCAGTGGGACTTGGAATTACTTTTTTTCCTCTTATTTTCTCAGTTGGAGTTAGACTTTTGGGTGGAATCATGAGATTTGGGTGAGGGACTGTGAGCTTAGGCTGATTCTGAGTAGTATGGATGAATCAGCCTAAGCTCACAGTCCCTCACCCAAATCTCATGATTCCACCCAAAAGTCTAACTCCAACTGAGAAAAGAGTTTCAGTGGGACTTGGAATTACTTTTTTTCCTCTTAAGTTACAATCTTAGCACATTAGCCAAGAAGTCAGTTCTGTGAGATTCAGATTTGCTTACAATCTCTTAAGTTGCCTTTGTTCCCAAGTCTTTGTAATAATTTTATTAGACATTACAATTGAAAAAATACAAACTAAAAAAATAAGAGTACAAAAATAGAAAGTGCAGAAAAGAAGAAAGAATAAAAAGAAAAAAAATAATAATATAGTAAAGAAAAAGAAAAATATATAAAGAAAAGACTTCATCAAAACAAGTATAAATGATTTTAGTAACTTATCACCTTCTTTTAAAATATAACAAAGGATCTCTTCATCCCATATCTCATTTCTTATCTATAAACAAAAACTTAAAGCCTTGTTGAATCCTGGTCAGCAAAAGTCCATTAATGGTTACCAGAAATAGCTACATATCTATTTTAACCTTGATGAAATAAACCCACTTTATATTCCTTCCCTGTACCAACAATCTTGGTCTTTGAGCCCTTCAAATAAGGTCCTAGAACTTGATTTCTTTTCATTTTTTCTTTGTCCCTTCTCACAAAATCCTTCAAAACTTTAACAGATCTCTTTTGTAAATCCAGTATAGAAAAATTATCCAAATCACTCTTCTGGTTTATTATTTGTATGTCCCTTTTAACTGTTAAGACATCAACCAGTTTCATCTGTATATCCAGTGTATCATCTTTTTCCATATCATTCTTGTAGTCTGTCATTTTTAAATCCACATTCAAATCAATTTCAGTCTTATCCAGTAGAGCTTGTTCCAATTCCATAAGATCATTTATGCACAACCTATCTATAATAGCAGACATTATTGAAATTAACTTCTGAGTCCTTTGTTCACAAATATCCTTCAGTACATCCAATGTTAAAAGTATTTTGCTCCATTTGGTGTTAGTAAGTTGAGTTTAAATGTTATTCTCCTTTAATTGTAATCTTTAATTCCTTCTAGTTCCCCCTAGTGTCCAACCTTCAAAGTCTCATCCTGTAATTTTTTTTTTAAGAGAATTCAAAACAAAAGCATTTTCCCATGGGAAGGGTTATAATTAATTTCAAAATCTTATTTCAAGTCCATCTGGACCCTTAATCCATTTATAACTTTACAAAATCACTTGAATCACCCTTTTTCTGTTTATTCCAAAAAATAAAAATTTTCTAAGTCCTTAAACTAGCACTTAAAGGTTCTTTTGTTAAGGACTGAAGGAAACACACCCAGTGAATGGCATAAAACTAGCCATTCTGAAGGATCCTAATATTTGAAAAGCAGTATAAAAGTAATTCCAAAAGTGATTTAGAAATGAGGCTTGGCAGAAGATGAACTGAGTCGTATTTGGGAGATGCATTTCAAGATTACAACGATGACATTGTAGCTAAAATGGCATTCACTTTGAACAATAATACTTTTTGTATTTTATAAAGTATGCATTATGTAGATTTGTTGTCTGAAATGTGTAATAAGTATCAAAGAAATTCTTGTTCCTTAAAAATATGTCCACAACAACAATTACTGGAAAGTGGCCAGGATACCTTAATATAATTATTAATAATATATTTTTGTCATATCTACATAATATATTTTTATTCGAATACTTAAACTTGTGTCAGCTGTATGCATTTGTGAAGCAACCCTGAAATGCATCCCAAAACTACAATTATAAGCTATGTTACTCAAACATTTTCAGATACCAATATTAACAAACTTTAGGAAACTTTCTTTTCTTGTTTACAATCACTCTGATTACATTTTCAGTACTGTGGACTGCTCAGGGAAATTGCCTAACAATAAATTCAGATGAAAATACAATTGGCAGAAACAGTGGAATTTTCTGGGCATTGTTACAATCCAGGTAAGTAACTAAGCTATTGCTTTTGGTTATATCCATCTAGTATATCTTTGTAGAAATAAGGGTGAAATTAGCCTTTAATACTGGTCCCAAAATCATCCATTAAGTGCTGTCAAATGAAATAAAACTGCACAGGCTGCAAAGGAGGCCTCTCCCTTTTGCATCTTCCACTTGCCCCCAAATTTATTCTGGAGGATTGGGAATCCACCAGTTTTGGGGGTAAATAGGAGCTGAGGGAAGATGAAATCACCCAACATCAAAAAGTGCATAGATGGTATTACAGGTAGTCCTTGACTTATGACCATTCATTCAGTGACCGTTAGAAGTTACAGCACCACTGAACGAAGGGACTTACAACTTGTGCCTGAAGTTATGGCCATTGCAGTGCCTCCGTGGTCACATGATCAAAATTTGGGTGCTTGGCAGCCCGCTCGCACTTACGACCACAGAGGCGTTTCAACTCCCCACCCGCTTATCTCCCCCCCATCTATGCCCTTTTGGCCCCCTGTGCTCTGCCGCCCCAGCTGATCTTCACTGTCTTCTTGCTCCCACTGCTGATGAAGTATGCCCAGACTGGCTCCTCGGCCAGGCTGGGGGCTGGCATTTACCATGG